GCATCTTCTCTTTACAGAATGCTACAAGATTTACACCCCTGGAGTCTTCCACGATTCCCTTTTTGTACTTGACGGAATAGCTCTTTCTTATCATATATCAGCCTGCGCACAACCAAAGCCATTGCTCTCCTGCCTGCAATCCATTCCCAGGATGCAATCTTCCAACTCAGAAAATAACGGCTGCCAACCTGATCCAACTCTGCGTTTTTTCTCATTTCCCTTGGTCCACCAGTTGACACAGGTAATCGTAGTCTGCACACCATTTACGAACCATACGGAGATCCAGCATCTTCTCTTTACAGAATGCTACAAGATTTACACCCCTGGAGTCTTCCACGATTCCCTTTTTGTACTCGACGGAATAGCTCTTTCGTTTTGTACTCATTTTAACTGGGGTTAAAAATTATTCACTTTATTTTTAAATAAATTACGTATGAGGAAATAATTAGACTTACAAGACTGAAATGAATTAACGTGTATACCTGCACTGTCGCTCCATGTAGACTGCTGCCTTATGTTGTATTTTTAACCAGTTCGCTGTTAGGAAAATCGCAATTTCTGTTCAAATCAGATTGAACAGCGTACCTGTCACACTGAAGGATGGTGAATAACGACCCCTAAGGGGCAACATAAAACACAAAGACTGGTATAGTCCTTAGAGCCAGATATTTTCCCTTTGCACCCAACCCCAAATCTATTGCAATCTATTAAAATGTAATGTAATTTTTAATTGTCAAGAAAAAGCTTTATATAAAGTAAAAATAAGGGCATTAGCTAGTATTTGAAATGTCCTTGAATTTTTGTTTTATTATTTCTTGATGGCCTGTAACAAAGAGAAGAATTGAAATCGTTAAGAATTGAAAGATAGCATTTAAATCCCTTTGTTCATTAATAGAAAGGGAGAAAGTTGTTGTGGATCTCATAAGATATGTTGAGGGGGTAGCTACTCGAAGAAAGTGTCCCCATCCTTTACTTTCCTGAAACAGCCCCGCTGTGATCCTAATGCGACACAGCTGAGAAGATAAGTAACCCATCAATCACCCCTTTTGATTTTCAACTCATTCTGTGGGGGTTGGAAAAAGGTCGCTGTGTCGTATGTGTCTCGGGTTACGGTTCAGCCCAAATTTCACCCCGACGAGAGTCTGCCGATGCTAATGGATGACGATGCCTTTTCTGTGAACGTATCTCTCTTGGGGCAACGGTGAACTGGTTAAGATAAATTCCAAGAATTAATTTGAAATGAACTGAAGAGGTAAACAATTAATTTATCGGGATATTTTGTTTCAAACATTTCTCTGAAATACGAGTATTAGGAAAGCTAAACATATTATTACTTGTACTTAATAATCAACAGCATTTTTTAACTAATTCTTTTTGTCACATTATTTTAATTAGGGATTATTTTTGAGGATGTTTTTTTACAAAACGTTCTGAAAATCACGATAGGGCTTTTTTCGGAGGATTTCTTATTTTAAAAAAGTTCCGAAAATCACGATAGGGCTTATTTTCGGAGGATTTCTTATTTTACAAAAAGTTCCGAAAATCACGATAAGGCTCATTTTCGGAGGATGTCTTATTTTCAGAAAAAGACGATATCTTCTTTATAAAAAAATCTTATAAATATTTCTAGAAAATATGTATCATAATCTTCCATAATTTCATACTGAGTATCAGTTTATACCCTTCAAGTGCATGTATTTAACAGATGGTCTTGAAATATGGCATATATTAGACTGCAAAGAAAATGCAAAAACAGGTTCAATAATACAGTTTACACTGTAGTTTATTTTGGGCTAATATTGTAAATTTTAAAATTGTTTCAGAGATTAAATGTTTTATTTTAGATTGGCTTAGAACATGAAATAAATTGAATATACTTAAAAGTAATGTGTGAGGGGGTGGTACTTAATGTATTAGCATAATTTGGTGATTTTCTGCAAAATAAAAAATAAATAAATAAAAGGAATGACTACTTAAAATTGCAAAATATCATTATTGGATGTATATATTTTGAATTTTAATTAGGTATTTTCCTCTAAAATATATCTGTGTAAACAGAGTTATGTTTCTTTTACATTTGTGGAAATTTCATGTGGATCACTTCAGAATGTATTCAAAGCAATTGTTCCCTTTTTTTGTGTGATTTTGTGTCGGAATACTCTATTTCTGCAGGAATTTAGCTGCAGTTTCTTTCATTGCAGGCAAATCCCCCTGTTTAGTTTAAAATTGAAATTAAAACATGATATATAACGTATCATAATTTGTCAAGAAAATTGTTGAAACTTGGAACACAATAAAACAAATGTGTATAAAATTGCATTGCTGCTTGTTAAAACTGAAGAATTTTTATATTCATAATGGCCAGAGTTCTGCACATTCTGAAAATTTGGCATCTTCAATAAGATATTTGTACTAATGCATAAGTACCAGAAAAACAGAGAAAGAGGGAGAATGTGATTCAAAGCTACAAAGAATTCTGTATAATCAGAAAACAATGTAGTTGTTTTATAATTGTGCAAAATTGTTAGAATTTGTATGTTATTTGACAGTAGTATTCATGTGTATTAGAATAGTACAGCCGACAGTAATTAAATTTATGTTACAATGAATTATTTTAGTTATAGGTGTATTACCTTAGTGTTAATATTGTTTTAAAATAGGAGGAATTGATATTTACAGGTTATCCCGTCAATCATGAAACTGTCACCAAGCAGTGCCATTTAGAGCCAATTGCAGATAAACATGACAGTACACTGATGACATATGTGCTTTGGTGTAATTGACTGGTTCTTGATAAGCCATTTTTTGTTTTTATGAAAAAAGATAAAAAGTTACCGTAATTTCCGGAAGAAACGCTGCGACGTTTACGTGTTTAAAACTTAAATTTTCAGCGGGTGCGGCGTTAGTAGGTCACTAAAAAATAAAATATTTCCTATGATGGTCATTGTACATAGTTTGATGGCCTTGTCATTGCGCATAGATTGGTGGTGTTCCCACACAAAAGACCACTCAGTTGCTTTTGCGAACGTTATTTTGTTTACGTTCTTTCCCTTGAACGGACCTACATGCCTTATTCATCCTAAAAAAAAATCTCAGAACAATAACATTCTTCCCCACCTTTCAAATCACATTCTCATCTTTTGAATAGTCTCTCTCCTCTGCCATTCGATGAATCTTCCAGGACCCATCCTCTTTCCCCCTGCCTTTCTGCAATTTTTTTCAAAGGCGGACATGACTCCACCTGCCTCGTAATAACGAACTCTGACGTATTTCTCCTTCAGCATGAATGGATTTTTCTTGGCATTCTGCCAAATACAGATCCCATCAGTTAGGGTACAAGTACTTGTTGGATAGTTTTAATTAGGGAGCGAAAATTTTTGAAAATGTCTCTAAACGGCACAGAAGCTATACATTTCTTACCTTTAATTTATTTTTGAGTTATGGTTTCATTTCATGCATTTTTCTTAACTGGTAAGTCATATATCAGGACTTAGGTTGAGTTTTTGCGTCTATACGGCCCACGACGATGTCACACGCAATTTAATCTATTGCGGCGTTTCTGTGTAATTTAAATTTTTTTCCCGCCATTTTTCTCAAGTGCGGCGTTTACTCTGATGCGGCCTTTCTTCCGGAAATTACGGTAACTGTTATTGGTATACTTTAAATAAAAATATTAAAATTTGGGACCTGCCTTCTACAGAACAAAAAGCAGTACATTATATTCAAATTTTTTGAATCCGTCCATCCACAAAAGGTGTATTAATGGGTATGATAATGTCAGCTGAACATTAATAGACAGGAACAATTAATGCAAGGGAGGGAGAGTTTATCATACTAAACAGAGCTTCTGTTAAAATCAGAAGGCTTACCAAAACAATAGAAACCAATGAATTCTGTTTTTTAAGAAGGGCAAAAATGAAGTGGTCAAATATAGGTTGTTTATTAAATAAAAGAGAGGACTTCCTCAGGAATGATTGACATACATTGGCAGGAATCCATGAAATTGCACAGTCAACGGAATAATACATATCTACAGAGGAACTTTTTAAACCATGTTGAAAAGTATAACAGCTTTATATTCAAACATAGAAATCTTTTGTGTATTCGATCTTTTGAAAAGATTGCCTTTAAGAAAAAGTTTTAAAGTATTAGCTTTTATTTACTTTCCAGAATTGTACTTACCATGTATGATTCTTAAATATAATATTTTTCTAAATAGTAGCTCATAAAATTGCAAGAAAAATACACCAGTGTCAAATTTAAAATTAAATAAAAAAGCCACCTTAGGTTGATATGGGTTTTGAATAAAACTTTTGATTTCAAAGGTATTTTTCAGGAGCCGGAAAAATTTCCTCTTGAAGAAGAAGGTTTATATATAAATAAATTTTTAAATCAACAGAGCTTTATTTAAAAGTCTGTGGCAAACTGAGGTTGCTTTTTGCCTTATTTTAAATATTGTTGATTAATATTTGTATTTTATGTGTGTGTGTTTAGGAAATATATTTCTGAAATATTAAAGTAAATGTATAATTCTGAGTCTTTTAATAATAATAAAAAAAAATTCAGTCAACTGTGTTAACATTTTATTAGGTGAAAGTCTATCAATCACCTGGTATATCACCAGGTAAAACTGTGTTCTTTTAAACCTAAAAAGATTGTTTTGAGAAGCTAACTTTTATCAGTAGCACACTACCAATGACCAGGCAGATTAAAATTTTTGAATGCTGGTGTTTCATTCCCATGATGAAAATGCCTTGACTGTGTAGGGTTTCCATGGTTCTTCCATGGGTAATATGAATAGTGTCAATCTTGCCAGTGTCCTCCATGGGTAATATGAATAAAAGCTAGTGTCTTATCTTTTACCATTCTTCTGCAATGGCATCAGTCTTAAGACAGATAAATTTTAATTGCTGCATTGTAATAAATAACCTTCTTTAGCCTTCATATAGTGAAATATGAAAATACTTTGGTAAAAATTTTTATAATTCCAATTCTAATTCAAACTGTAGTAATTTTTTTTTTTTTTAATTATAGGTAGTACATTGCATTTTAGGTCTTGTGAAAGCTAGTGCTCTTGTCACTTCCATTCAGGTGGCATCACGTGTCATTCAAGCATGGGGTATTATGAATCCTATTGAAAATGTAAGCCTGTTTCTTTTTGTAATTTTCATTAGAGGACTTGAGTATCACTTTTTTGTTAAATTTTTAAACCTTTAAAGAGTGCTTCATATTACACTGATCATCAAAGTTAAAGGATATTGACAGAAATAAAACATGACTTATTCTTAATGAAAAATTATTAATAGAAATTTGTGCATTAGTTAAAATAAATTACAATGTTTGGCAGTTGATTATTTGTAAAATATTGAAATTAAAGCCAAATTTATGGAAATTGGGAAATGATGGGAAAATGAAGTCACCTCTTGTGGAAAACATTTTTCTTTAATGTGGTGTATGGTCACCTCGGACAGATATGCATGCCTCACATTTTGATAATGTAGACTTTACCAAAGTGTTGATCAAGTCTTGGGAAATTGCACACCCCTGTTCTAAAAATGCATTTTTCAGCTCACAGAGGGTATAAGGCATCCCACACATGCTCAATCCTGTTCAAGTCGGGTGAGTAAGGTGGCCAGTCCATTTGAGTGATATCATCTGTTTACATGTATTCTGACACCATATATGCTCAATGAGCCCGAGCATTGTTATCCATTAGCAAAAACTCTGGGCCAACAGCATCCCTAAATAGTCTAACTTGGGGTTCCAATAACTTGCCCACATATCTCCAAGCGGTTATAGAAACTCTCTGAAAGATATGCAACTCGGTATGACCATTTTTTGATTTATTGTGATTCCTCCGCAAACCATGAAACTGTGGTCACAAAAATGAGATATTTCATGGACAAGGAAAGGCAAGTTGTAGTAAGAATTGGAGGCTCCCTTCAGCCCACCTGAACGTGAGTGTCCCCATAGCTCAAAAGAAGGGGCCCCGTTACTCCACAAACAAGAGCAGCCACAAACAAGAGCAGCCAGTAACCCAGCCACCCCCAAACAACAAACAAAAATACTAAATCAAAAATAAGTAAGCACATCTAACACAAAATTACAGACCAACAAACAAACACACAAAAAAAAAAAAAAAAAAAAAAAACCCCATAAACACAAATTTACAACATAAAACACTACAGATATCCAAAACCCATATAAATACATGTGTTCCTTCCTCTCTTTAGATCAGTGCTCCGCAACCTTTTCTCACCTGCAACGCACAAAAAATCTTTCTGGAATTTCGTGGCACACCAAAGAGTTCCGAGTTATCAGGGAAGTGCCGAAAAAATTCAAATGCTGACACACTTACAATCACACACACAACAGTGAAATATATAAAAACATTTAAAATAGACATTATTAAGGAAAAAAATTGTCATTGTGTATTAAATACATGATAAAAAATTGCAAAATTTGAAATATATTTTGATTTTGATTGCAGCACACCTATATCCTACTCATGGCACACCGGTTGCGGAGCACTGCTTTAGATCAAAACACATCTAGAATCGCTGTTTAGGCTGTATATGAACTCATCAGTAAAAAGTACTCGGGCTCAGTTATCTTTGCACCATTGACCAGTACAACCACATAAGTGTAAATGGGCTCCTTCAGAAGCTGGAGTGAGTGAGGCACAAGCCATTGGCTTCTTTGCATACAGTCCAACCTCGTTAAGCCTTGTTATTAGAATGGCTAATTCAAGTTCCTGTGGCAACTTGAAGGTTTTAAACAAACTCTCTTGTACTCGCTACTCAGTTTCTTCGAGCCAGCAATGAGAGAAAACAGTCTTCTAATGCAGTTGTTGCTTTCTTTCGTTTGCCCTTGACCAAGCTGTCTGTCAACTGATCTGGTATTTGAAAAGTGGCTCCAAACTCTTAGTATGACACCTGGAGGTATATTCAAATCTTGAAGCGACTTCGATTTGTGTTTGATCTCAGTTCTACCTTCTACCAGTTATTTGCTATTTTTGACCTTCACTTAAATGATGCCTTTGAGTCATAACTACTGAATGCTGACACTAATCATTGAATACATTTAGATTGAAAAAGATCTTTTGCATGTACTACACAGGTATTGTAACTATAAAGGTCACTGTTTATTATTTATTATTAAGCATTATGCAATTTGAAATACATTTAAAACTTTTTAATATATTCATAAATATGCATTGCCCCCCCCTCAATTTAATTTTTCAATATTTTTACTTCCTTGTATGAAGGAAAAGAAGTATTGTAATCGCATAAATTTTCGGGTATCATATTTCGACAAAAATATCCATTTTGACTTCTATTGAATGCAATTTAATGATGTTTTTGCATGACATCTGTACATACGGACAAAATAAAGGACTCTTCCCTCCCAAAAAAATTGGATTGCAAAAAAAGATTTAAAATGGATTCAGAAGAGAACTTATTTTTTGTGACATCTATATCTCGCATAACTTGAAAACAAATAGCGTCAGAACGTTAAAATTTTGTATATAGGACTTGCTATAACATGTAGCTGTGCACCTCCCTTTTTGGTTGCCATTAGCCACACCTAAAGTATATAAATATGTATGTATTTTTACCCACTCTGTTACTTGGCTCCATGAACTCAGTTTTTTTTTTTTTTTTATTATTATTCTTATATGTTGGTAAATTGTGCATTTTTTGCTTAAAAAATGATTGAAGTATGCTATTATCTTCTGGTTAAGGTTTTGATCCTAATAGTTAATCTGCACACAATATTTACAAAATTATCAATAATTTAAAAGTTGTTTAAGTGCGGCTAAGCCTAACTTTTTTAAAGCATGTAGCAGCCATATTTGTCTACATTTGAAACAGCAGAATAGTGAATTAAGTCAGTTTCTGCACCTTGAGTGTCCTTTTTGCCGAGCAGGACCAAACGGAAACTTTCAGTTTTGTGTATAAAAAAATTTGCCTTCTTGTCCGCTGGCTGATTGCTTGTTTTTGCGTAGAAACTCTAATTTTAATTGTAAAATATTTTCAAATTGTTTTAACTGTATTTGGTATTTTATATTTTTCTATGTTTTCAATTTTTAATAAATATATTTTGAGGTTTTATGTATTTTTTTGCCTTGCCTCGAAGTGAGAACTGAAGTAATTGAGTGACAAATATGTCTAATGAAATTTGAGGAAATAAGTTTAAATGAAATGCAGAAAAAAAATGTATATAATTTAATATTCAGTGCAAGGAAGTCTGGGTGTATGCATCAGATTTTTTTAACAGTAGTACAAATTATTTCATACCTGAAAAATATGCAAGCCTAAGCCTTTAAATCTTCCCCTATTGAAATGATTCCCATATTTGGTACTATTCGGTTTTGAGGGCCGTAAAAAAATTGCAGCGAAAATGTATGTGCAAAAGCGCCAAATCTAGCAAATGCGCCCATTTAACAGTGCGCCAAATCTAGCGTACGCGTTGATTTCAGATTGCGTAAGTTTATGTAGTTCTATATTTCTTAAGATGCCATTGACATACTAGTTTAAATTTTAAATCCTTTTTTGATATCCTATGGATTTAACAATTTGGGAATTGCCGATAACGAAAAGTTGGCAATAGAATTTTGGGTAAAGTGCAGAATCGCCCACTGTTTGATGCGGTTTTAAGAATTGCACATACTCGGTATCTGTGTGCACATCGACCTATTTTCACTTTAAAAAAATTCCTAGAATTGCACAAAAATGGCACTGCGCACACCCTTGACTTCATCTATGTACACATTGACCTATTTTCACTTAAAAAGTGAAAGAAAATTGACAAAAATTCAGTTGTTTTTACCCTTGTAAGAAGCAGCAAACAAATAAGTGAGCAATTCTGCATTTTACCGAGAATATTTTCAAAGAAAAGGCATCATTCATTATAGAAAATTACGTTTGAACAACCAGAAATTATGCTTTAGCGATAAGTCGGTAGCGAAATAGCGATGCAGGCATCCATTCAGTTATGTTTAGCAAATTTTATATAAATTATAAGAATGATCTGAAATAGTTATTTACTCTTATGCTTCCATTCAGTCATGTTTAGCCTTTTTCAAATAAATTATAATAATAAAATAAGTGTTATATGAAATTAACCTTTCATCTAAATTAAAACATCAATCTTAGATAGTTATTTACTATTATACTTCCTTTCTTGCAGCAATTATTAGGGTTGCCGCAATTATTTTTGGCAGCATTGGCATCAACAATAGTTTGGCGATTTTTTACGGCTCTCGAAACCGAATAGTACCCCATATTTTAATAGGTGGGTATTTAGCTATTGCTGGGATTCAAACTGAACACCTTTTACATAACAAGAAAAATGTTTTTGATTTGCATCTTTATCTTTCTGAATCACACTTTTTTCCCCCTTTCTTCTTTCATTCTTTTCAGTTACTGAAAAGTGTACTAATGTGAGGCTTTTATAAAAGTAGTTTTTTGTTAAATGTAGATATTGCATTCAGTTATTATTTGTTTTTAAACTTTTGCTGCATTTAGCGGCATTTTTCTGTAGCTTTTTCCAATTTTTTCGTTTTAATTTCTTACCTAAAAAACTATAATGAAGTATTTTATTTTCTTCTCTTTACATCTTCCAAAAAAAAAAAAAAAATATTTATTGAAAATAATTGTAATATTTATATTTTGATGTGCAAAATTATAAAATGTGATTATAATAGTATCTGTGGTTGCATAAATGGAGATTTATAAATCACATAACCTTTTGTAGTTACTAAAGAATTTATCTTCTCTCCTAGGTACATAATTCTCCAACTCTTGCACTTGCAATCATTGCTTGGTCAATTAGTGAAATTACTAGGTATTCATTTTATTGTTGTAATCTTTTGGGATTACCATCAAAAACACTTACATGGTGCAGGTGTGTAAAATTTTCTTTTTTATGAGTCTGATTTATAAAACACATTGGCAAAACAGTTTTGTTTTTGTTATCAATCTCAATAATTATTATTCTCTTATTTCTTAACAGCTTTTCTGATTAAATGTATATTAATTAGGTAAAAAATAGGTATTATTTAATTAAAGTGTCAGTGTGTTTAATAATGAAATATATTTCTAAATTGAGAAATATATATTTTGTGAGATTGTATGACTAATAATTTGAATATGAAGTGATATCTAAAAGTTCGCAGAACTTTTTTAGGAACAGAGGTATGTGGAATTATGTTTTTAATTACATGGGGTTAAAGGCACCCAAAACAAGATGCAATTGTAAATCTGTATACAATTATTTATATCGCCGAAAGTAAGAAAATATTGTATGTGGTCAAACAAGGCAAGAGAAAACAATAGGAAAAGCTATCGTGTATCAATTCTTTGAGCATATGTGTGCATTATTTATGATCAGTTGAGAAAGTGAAATAAATAAAGGTAATAACTCATGAATCTTGACCAGAATTAAACTCATTAAGCTGTCTATAATTAAATCAAGAATTTAAATGTCCATTGTATATCTTGTATTTTTATGAAAAATTTCTTTTCCAGAAGTAAAATGAAATGTCTAATATGTTTGTTTTTCATCTTTAACACCCATTATTTATCATGTTTTTGCATGTTTTGTATGTCTGTGCATATGTTTGCAACATAATTTGGTCTTGTTTTTATTGTTAAATAAATAAGAGAAAATCTCTTCCAAGTTAAATAGCATAATTGCCTATGTATGATTTATAAACGAAATATTTCTATTTTGCATTAGTGTTGTTTATTTGGATAAAATTTAGCTGTTTGCTTATTTTAATAAATGTACATTTTTATCTGTAATTATTAGAAAAACTAAAAGAACTGTGAATTATTGAAATGAACATTCTGAATACTGTAGATAATCACTGATATATTTAATTTTATTTATTTTAATTGGTGTTTTTTTCTCATTTATTTCAATAAATAGAGTAATATACATATATAACTGTTTATCTGTGAAATTCTGAATAGGATTATAAAACCAATTTGATTATATTATTTTTTAAACCCAAATATAAATGATAACCTGTGTTAAATAATTATTTTAACCCATGTTCAGTGTTTTCCAATCCAGTTTTACATAAAACCAAAGCTTGTTTTTATTACATTTCAGAAGGAATTTTTATTTTAATGAAATTTATGGTACCCTCATATCATGCATTGGAATTTGTTATCTATATGTCTTCATGTTGCTTCGTCACATTCTACCAATTAACACAATAGTTCAAGCTTTTCATTATTTAGACCAGTTTTCGTATAGTAACTAATGTTTATTGATTAATGTTGTTGTTCGATGTTATGCAAATTGTATTTCTTTCTTTGTACCAAGGAGCGGCGCAGACACAAATTTGTTAGGTTTTTAAAGCTCGCGTTTAGAGCTTTGAGCTTGCTGTGAATTACTGGAGTTTCAACTAAGCAGAGGTTCTTCTGAGTTTGTGTGGTAAGCTGCTACCGAAGTCGGAGTTTGCAGTGTGCTCTTCGCCGTTCCTCAACCAACTTACTTGTTTGAAAGTCAATAAAGAAGTTTCGGTCAACGTTATGACTCTGAGGTTTCTTGGGTTCTATACTGAAGTAATATCAAGTCAATTTACAGTCCACTATTTTTAAAGAATGGGACGTACAGCTGTATTTAGTAAATTTTCAAGACATTATAAAATATGTAAATTAAAAATATTCACCTTATGAAATTCACCTTCGTTTTCTGTTGAATATTGTATTTCTATTAATTTCATGAAAATATAAACTTTAAACTCTCAAGTATCATTAATATTTTTACGAAGCCTGGATTAGAATAAAAGCATTTAAAAACTGCATACATACTTCTGAATGTTCAAATGAAAGAAAGAGTTGCATATCGCCCATTTTAAATCAAAATTTAGAACTAATTAATTTTTAGAAGAAAAGGCATTTCAAAAACTAGGGCTCTTGTGCCAAAACATGAACTGAGTTGAAAATGTAAAGAAAAAGTTCTTGAAAGATATTAAAATAACTCTTTTAATGATTATGCAAAAGTGAAAATAGCTAGAATTTATTGCTTTATAGGTTGTAGATTGTTTATTGTAAATACAACTTTTATATGCACTAGGAGGGATATTCGTTTCACTTGTTTTACTGTAATATTAACTTTATTGCAATACACTAGAAACAAAGCCACAATATTTCAAGATATATCTAATTAATTAAGGCTATTTCTTGCCTCACTTCATGTGTATTGTTTTAAATCATGGGTGTCTAAAGTGCGGCCCAAAAGTCTAAAATGTGGTCCAAACGCAAATTATATAAAACTATTTAAATGTACATGTTTTTATTAAAAAAATAAATGCTTGAATTTGATTCATATATAATCGGTTCGTTGGCATTTATTTTTAAATAAAAACATATTAGTATGTTATGATGTATTAACTCCAAAGTGACATTCAACTGAAAGAAAAATTTGAAAATGTTTCTTTACTGGAGTTTCATAAAGATTACCTACCTCACGATAAATATCCTAATTTTCACAATCATGCGTTATTAATATCTTCAGTTTTGGCAGTACCTATATTTGTGAACAGTATTTTCAAGAATGAAGCATACAAAAAACAAAATAGGACAAAGATCACTGGTAAACATCTTGAAAATGCAATTCAGAATTGCAACCTCGTCTGTTGAACACGCTATCGATTTGCTTGTTCAACGTTGGTGTTGGTGTATTTAATTATGGCAAAGCACACGAGGGCTATCTGCCTAAGGGGAGGGATGCCTTTCGTGGAAGACTTTTTAAGGGAAACTGGCTCGTATACACGTTACACATGGGGAAAACCACGAAAACGCCCATGCAGCCAGCCCGCTCGCGGGATTCGAACCTCGGACCGAACTACCAGTGTTCAGCGACTTTACCGCTCGGCCGCTGGTGGGGCCTTTGCTTTTCAACAAAAGCAAATTCATCCATCTCATTAATTTGAATTTTTTCCATCTTGATGAAATCCAAACTAAATGAAATGAAACTTTTACAAATTAATAATGAATACGTACCTATACATATCTAATTCAAATTTTAAAAAATTAATAAAAGTTAATTTATTTTAATGAAAACAACACAGAGCTAATATTTATTTCAATTTGTTAAAAAATATTGTATGTGTGGGCCTGCAATTTTTTTTTTCCTTTGCAATGCGGTCCTCAAACAGTTATAGTTTAGACACCCATGTTTTAAATAGAGCATATGTAATAGTTTGGTGTGTTAGTTTTCAACTCTATTCTGAAAATAATGAATTTCCTTCTTTTTTAGATATTCATTTTTCGTGGCATTATACCCTGCAGGAGTTTTTGTAAGTATTTCTTCTAAATTTTTATTCATTCTTTGATAAACATGATTATTTTATTTAAATTATGTATTTATATCTTTGGCTGAAGATGAGAACTTTTTTTTTTTTTTCCCACAGAGTGAAGTCTCAAATATCTTTCTTGCATTGGATACAATAAAAAGGAAGCAGTTATTTTCCCTAACCCTTCCAAATCCTATGAACATTTCATTTAGTTTCTACTATGCAAATATATTAATTTTGCTATCATATATTCCATGTGAGTATCAATAAATTAGTATTATTTCCATTTGAAAAACATTTTTAAGGTCGAGAGGGTAGTACAGTAGAAGTCCAGAAATCCGCAACGCATGGGACCAAAGGTTGTGCGGATTTTAGGATTTTTCGAATTTCAGGACAAGAAAAATAATATTCAGACTAAAAGTGCAAAATAAGGCGTATTAGATACATTTAATTAAATTGTTATATACATTAATACATTATATGCATTAAATTATTATTACATATATAAACTGATTATATTATATTGTTCTTTTACATTAGGTTCTTCTATTTTTAAATCAGCATGAATCTGCTCCCCCTTTTCTCTCAGGAGTAGTCCTGAAATAGGTACCCCCACCCCATCACTCCGCAGCTGCCAGAACCACTCGTACAAGACAGCATCGAGGTTTGCCTATTTTGCCTCATGTAAAGATTTCCGATTTCGGATTCCGGTGTTAGAACACTGTTGCTGTAAAATTTCAACAGCTTTTCTCTATTGTTCTGTATATCATACACAGTTCGTGTTGCAAATCCATATGATTCTGCTATAAACCGAGCAGAAGCACCTCTCTTTAGCAGAATTTCCACTTTTTTCATTACCGTCAATGCAACGTGTTTATGTTTTTCACTGTTTCAAGCAGTAAAATCACGAGTGCGTTTCTTATCTGTCACTGTATTAAAAAACGCTGAAATTTAAACCATACTTAATTTATCCACAAAATATCCGGAATAAAAAAAACAACATCACTAAACAATCTCGTGAAATAACAAAGCTCAGAAAGTACAACAACATGAAGCATGAACTTGAAAGAAGAGTTTAGTGAATCATCTGCTTTTTTACCTCGATGCAGATTGGAGGGGAAAAAACTCTTATCATGATGTCAATAATTTGGTATTTCCATTATGACTCATTATTATTTGGTAATTAATGACGTATTTTTTTTTCCGATAATTTCACGTTTTTTCTTCGATATTTCATACTCCATGTTGCGGTTTCCGGAAGCTTTAAACTAAATGTTTATATTTTGAGAGGCAACGCGGATTTCAAGTCTGTAGATTTACAGTATTTCACTGTAATAATTTTTGTACTTAATATTTTTTTTAAAAAATTGCTTACACTTTTACATAAAATAAATTCTAGAAGAAATTTGTGGAGTGCGGTAACTAATAGAAGTGTATGTTTTTGTAAAGAATGCATCAAAATTTTCCATTACTATGAAACTTATACCAGGAGAAAGTAGGATTAATCTTGGTATTAATGAAAGTTAATCTTATCAACAAGCTAATCCATTACATTCTGTGTTTATATTATTAATTCTATATTTGAATTATGCATTACATTTTAGAGAATGCAGTGAAATACAAATATTGAAACCTTTTTTCCCTCTGATATTTTTAAACCTATATCTTCTATGTGACCATATTGCTACAGAACCCTCCCCCTTTTTTTAACATGGTCCATCAATGTTGCATAATGACATAACATCCAGAAACTACTTATATAAGGCACATTCATGAAAAAAAAGAAAAAAAAAAAACACTGCAGTTTATGAGAATAGGTGAAACAAAATATTTGAGTGGGACATCATCATGTGTATGAGAACAGTTTGTTCTAATATCATTTAAATAACTAATGTTCTAGGCTTTTCTTTGGCAGCATTAGCATATACATTTACTTTTTTACTTACATTATTTTCATTTTGTACTTGCATAAAAAAAACTTTAAATTTGTTTAATTGGCAGCATTTTCATAAAACTTGCTGTAATGCAGCTTAAACTTTCTTAGTCATTGAATAGCACACTCTCAAACTAACTTTCAGACTGTTGTTCTGTATATACTTTGGATGTTCTGTTGTTCTTTGGATTTTGTTTCATTTTTGATTTGCATAGTTATAGAAATTTGGAAGATGGTGATTGTCTAGTGTAAAATTCAGAGCCTGATTTGCAGAATATGATGGAATTAATAAGTATTTATGTAGAAAATGTATTTTTGCCTCCAGAACATTTGATTTGGAAAAACATTCAACTTGCCAGACTATTTTATTTGGATGTTTCTGTGCAAATTAAAACTGAATCACATTTTATAAAATAGAATAATATTAATGCCATTAAGTTCTGCTGCAAAATAAGTAAACGCTGGAATGCAAGTGATCAAAATGCCATAGTAAACTACTTGATTATGCATTTAAAATTTTGTGTTTACCATATTAAAATATTGATATTGGGCATTTGTTTAATTACATTAATTTAATCAAGTCAAAAAGAAGAAATTATATAAAAAATTCTGAATGAAAAAATTGGTTAGGCTAATAAATGTTTACATGGATTATAAATTTCCAGAAGATAAACCAATAAAATTGGATTAATATTCCTGTGAATATAAAAATATTACTTTTGATTTGAAGATAAAATATAAATTTCATTAATTGCATTCTTTATCTAAATTACAGCCTGTTTATTTTTACATTTTTATCAATAAATGCTTTCATATTAAATATTTAGAAAAGTTAATTATATTTCAGTAACCATGTTACATTTTTTAATTTTTGATACAGATGAAAAAATTTTATGCACTTATGATAAAACATTTTATGCGCTAAAATTATATTTAACTCATTACTTTAATTTGGATTTTTATCATTATATTTTGGAAAAATTTCTTTTTTAGAATTTCTCTGGTTTTTAACATTTATAATCTTGTGATTTTATAGAGAAATTAATTTTGAATCAAATTGGAATAGAAACATGCCAATGTAAAATTTTAAATTAGGCTAGAAAGCAGCCTTTTTAATTTTGTATTTTGACTTTCATACATATATATGGTTATAAATTAGAGCTGGATTGTCTGCTCTGATGGTATTGGTGGTACTTATGTTGATGATACATTTGCTACCAGATGCATCCAGAATGCAGATACAACCCTTCCCCCCTGCTTTTCGTTACAGAATGGTGTAAATTATTGTGCACTTGGGGGGGGGCAGCTAAACTTGATTTAGGTCATTTAGATTTTGATCCTAGAACATTATTTGTGAAGGACTAGAGTCAGTGCATTTTCTTCATAATAATCAAAAGCAGAAGTTAAGTATCCTTAAATGGAAAATCTCTCTGCTACAAAAGTCATTAGATGAGGTTCCAGTTAGTGTATGATGTAAGAATGAGCATATGAAATTGTTCTGTTCTTCAGACAAGAGCTTGTCTACCTGAAGAGCATATTTATCATTCATTCATAAAATAATTTTGTTAATGCTGGCAACAATTTCTTCAAAAATCAAGTGAATTTGGTGTCTTGTACAAACCTTGGACAAAATATTCTCCTTATTCCATTGCAGTCTGGGCAGAGCTCTTGTTGTTGGGATTTGGTACTTTTGTATTATCCCTTGAACCATTCGCAGAAATTTTGGTAATTACCACAAACTGCCATTTGTTACTGTGGAATTTTAAAGGAATCAGTCATCCATAATCGGTGCAAAATCATGCTACTTGGCCGTTCGGGAGGATAACACATAACTACGTGGGAGTTTTCCAGAAATGATCATATTTTCATAACTTTACTTCTCTGTATTTGAAAGAATCAATACACTAAATAATACTAGGCTGTTTTAATAAAAATCTAAATGAATTTCTCGATTCTGATTGCTAAAGGATACTAAAAGCAACTGAGGTTTGATTTAAATGAAGGATCTAATTTTTTAATGAAATGAAAACAAATTTTAATTTATACATTGTACAGTGTTTTTTTATTACTATTTAATGGACTATTTCATCCAAAATGTATCTTAATTCTTAATTATGTTTCTTTTGTGTGCATTTTAATGTTATATTTTTGTTTCTTTTTTTATGTATACAATGTTTTTCTTTTTTAGTGTTTCCTCACCTATTTAATCATATGCTGCGTCAACGGAAGAAAGTTTTAGGAGGAGAATCTCTAAGTGAAAATTTGAAAAAATCAAAATAGCGTTATCAAAACTTGCAGAATATGTACACACTTTGGGAAAAAGTTCAAATGCAATGCAGCAGGCTTCACACAATGTTCATTATTTTTTTTGATTTATAGGCAGAAATAAATTTGAATACGTTTTTTGATATAGACGGACTAGCATTCTATTTATCATATAGTTTTTGTTTCCCATTCCAAAAATTTTTCATTAGAAAAAGTTCATTTAGAATTACATGCAATATAAAGAAAAGCTATTATTTTAAAAAGTCTTCAATACATGGAAAACTGTTGTAAGGTATGTCAGCAAGAAGCCATACACCCAGGGGTGTTTTAAGTACAGCAGTTCTTGAGGTCATTGTAATACATTCGTTTTTTCTATTAAACTATTATTTTAGTTAATTAATGCTGAGAGAAATATATATATATATATGTTTATAAAATAAGTCTTTTAAGCTAAAAATGCAAAATGTTAAAATAGCTATTATTCCTTAGAATAATTCTTTTAAGCATGGTTTGTCAAGATTCAAGAGGCCTTATCACCATATATGCCTTCTGATGTCATTGCAAAGAGAACATGTTAAACTTTTCAGTTGTTAGCAGATCACTTGTAAAGAGGACTTTGCGTACATTTTAAAAATTTTAACTATAAAAATTATGTGTTGCAAATGGCTGTAATGACTAATAATTACTTAAGAAAAAATATGTTTAAAATTGCTCTCATTAAATGTTTTATGTGTAACTTTCTTCAGAACAGATCATCAGTAAAGAAATCCAACTAATGACCCAAATAGAAAATTTGCAGTGAATTAATTTGTTTTCTGCCTTTAATTTAGTTTTAAGTACTATATGGTTAAATCTTATTTTTCTAATATATGCTCGAAAGTTTTCTGGATTCCTTCTCCACTTTAATTCTTGTAGACAATGTATCATGCTTTCTTCTTATTTCAAATCATATTTTGTCTGTGAGGGTAAATCTATATAGTAGAAAATACATTTTATTAATCCTTTGTACTCTTACTCCTCACAGGCACTGCCAAAGTTTGGCATCGTGCTTAAAGTACACCAACAATCTACTGCAATGAAGATCACACGATCGTAATTTGCAGCTAAATTTTAATTGTATGCGATTTAATGTTTCATTGATTTCAGCATTTAGTCATTTGTTTGGCCAGTAAAAATAAAAAATACTATTCACCATAGCAAAAAATGTGATGAAAGAAGAATGCGATTTCAAGATAGCAGTGTGGATGAATAGAAAAGTGATTCCGATGACAGCAACATTATTCCACCAGTGAAGGGGAAAAAAAAAAAAAAGCATTGCAATATAGTGATTCTAGTGAAAGTGATGAAAACGCGTCAGAAAATTTTGATAATGTTTGGGAAAATAGGCAGATGAAATATACACTGACGAGCCAAAACAATGTAACCATCCCCATATTTTTTAATGAAGTCATCTGCATAACTTGGATGTCATTGAGTGGGAATGGCATTTAACTGCTACTGGAGAAGGTAAAGAATCATTCTTGCACTTACTTTTGCGAGTGATGGGAAAGGCTGCTGATCTAAGCGAATATGATACAGGGCTGATTGTAATGGTTCGAAGACTTGGAACGAGTATCTCCAAAACTGCATGACTGGTAGGTTATTCACAATCTGCTGTTGTTCGTATTTATGCAAAGTGAATAAATGACAGTGAAACCAGTAGTAGACAGAGACTGTCCAACTTGGTGCAGGAAAATCAGCACCAGATAGTAGCTCAGCTGACATCTTAATGTAATGCAGATCCAAATTATTTCGGAACACACGGTTCACCGGACACTGTTGGATGCACAGCAGATGTCCCATTTGTGTGTCTCTGTTGATCAAGTGTTACTGTCAACTATGCTTACAGTAAGCCCAGAAACATTGAGACTGAACCATGGATAAGAGGAAGATGATTAGTTGCCTGCTCAGATGAATCACGATTTCTCATTCATCAGGTCGATGGTAATATCAGAGTATGCCGTCTTCCAGGTGAACAGCTGCTCCTCCCATATAGCAGGTCATACACAGGTTGGTGATGGCAGTATTACACTTTGGGGCACATTTCTGGTACCCTTAGTTGTAGTCAGACCATGAAAGCTGCGGACTATCTGAACATAATTATGAATCAATTGCATTCTTACATGGCATCTGTTTTCCCAGCTGGAAATGGAATCTTCCAGCAGGACAACGCCTCATGTCACAAGGCTCGAATTGAAGTAGTTCAAGGAACATAAAGATGAATTCCAATTAATGTTTTGGCCACCTAACTCGCCAGATCTTACCCAATACAGCACATTTGGGATGTCATGGAGTGGCAACTTAGAGCTCAAACACCACTATGTTGGAATATCTCGCTTTGCATGACCACTGCTTAGACATTTGGTACAACATGTCTCAAGTCTTGTCATCCGTGCCAAGGCGAATTGCAGCTGTTTTTCAGGCTATGGTCTCGCGATGCAATATTGAGTAGGTGGTCAAAATATATTATCTCTTCAGCCGAGATAGTGTTAGTGAAGACTGCTGTGTCTGTTCAACCTAAAAGGCTAGAAGACAAATCGTTTATTTTTGTGAAACTTGCGATCGTCAGCCAGGTTAACATCCTGCTAATTGCTTTAATCGTATCATTAACTTGAAAATTACAAATAATTTATAACTTTTCATTTACAAATGTTTGCATTATGATAATAATAAAATAATGTTAAAAATATTTTACCTTTAAATAAATTGCACAGTACATAGTCATATACAGCAAAAGTCCAAGCTGCTCAAAGCTTTAAGTGGGAAAAAGTATGAATGCAAAGGGTTAAAATATTTGGGGAACACAAAAGCTACTTTATTAGTTTATATTATCTGTATTAAAAGTATACTTGTAAACCCTTTGACTGAATGCTGTCCAAAATAGGCTTTTCTCTGTTTGGAGGGGGGGGGTGTATTTTTATTAAGATGCTTTTCGTTATTCTTCAAATTTTTACCGAGATTTTTAATTAAATGGAAAGGCTTTAAAAATCATTCTTCCATGTAAATAAAACGCTGTATTGAAACTAAAGTCAAAACTGAATACTTATATTTCTCTAAAAGTATACATTAAGGAAATGGTAAATATTTAATTGCTTCTCTTAGATTTTAGTGCAAGATAAGCACTGATTAACTGGTGGATTTTCAATTCAGACAAGTAGACAGCCCTTGAACGCTTTGGCAAAACACTGTAGTCAAATGAACCATAACCAAACCCAATTGAAACATTTCAAAATACAGAAATATATTGCTGAATAAAAAATTCAGAAGTATATACACATACATATAATGGAGACAAAATCACTCACTGGTACAGTTTTGGTAAGTTGAACCAAAATGAATCAATTAGAGAGGATAAGTGGCTAAAATTGTAAAACACAAGTAACTCCTCTCCCATTCTGAAGAGACCCCCTTTTTTTAAAATTTTTTCTACATTTAATTTCAGAAGTTCTCTATGAAAAAGCCTCTTCCCGATACATAAAATTCCTGTGTACTTTATCATAATTAACAAATTCAGTCCAAAATAGTTTCAAGGAGCCCTGCAAAAGCATATTATTCATAAAGTTTTTTATGCTTTTACAAAAATTTACGGAATAGTATACTTTTGAATTTTTCTGTTTGACATTTGGATAAGAACATTTAAATTCTGAAAAACAGACTCCTATATTAAATAATTTTGATTAAACCATAACTATTTTCAGTTTTGTTCTAAAATCATCAAATTAAAAATTTTTTAAATGTAAAAAAATATTTTGTGAAATTACTTACTTTCTTTCATCATTGCAAACTATAGTTAATTTTGATCAATTTTCTTTGTCTTGCTACATATGAGATTCATATTAATTTTTGTATCAAGATACTGTTTGAATGTCATCTTAGCTCATGCTGAGCTGGCAGATTGTCTCACAAACTCCATATTTACCCTACTTTTTACTTTTCAAAATTTGGAGGAAAAAAAAATTTGAAAGAAAGATTTCAAGCAACAGAAAAAATCACAAGTGGCTATAGCAAAAAATGCTTATCAAGCAGCTTTCACTAGTTTGAATAAAAGATGGCAACAATACAATAGGATTGTATTTTGAAGATTGTATACATCTACTTTTATAAAAATAAAAATTCAGTCCTAGAACTTCCTGATCACACTACGTATATTCATAGTTCATTTGCAGTATTTTACAACTATTCTGACATTATTCAACTAACCAATTTGCAGATATATAGGAAATGCTGCAATTTTATTCTTCCTGCTCTTCTTTTATTACTTAATTTTGAAGAGAAAATTCATTTCCTTCATGAAGCATTTTAAATATGTTTCTATGAAATTCTTTCACTCCTTTAAAAAAATATCACAGTTGCAAGTTATGAAAAATCTACTTTCTATTTTGAGGAGAAAAAAGCAGCAATATTAAAAAGTTTTAATTTCTAAGAAAGGGAAAATTCCTGCTCTTCTTTTATTACTTAATTTTGAAGAGAAAATTCATTTCCTTCATGAAGCATTTTAAATATGTTTCTATGAAATTCTTTCACTCCTTTTAGAAAATATCACAGTTGCAAGTTATGAAAAATCTACTTTCTATTTTGAGGAGAAAAAAGCAGCAATATTAAAAAGTTTTAATTTCTAAGAAAGGGAAAAGGTAAAGAACTTACGATATTCCACACCCAGAATTTTTCATGGCTTTTAGTGCTCTGTGTGACTAAATAATAGCTAAAAAGAGATTTTTGCCTCATTTATTATAAAGCAAAGAACTTAAATTAAAAATGTGTTTAGAGAACTTTTTATTTGATAAAAATAATTTTAGGGAGAAAAACACATAAGTACTTTCCACAAACAACAATATAAAAATTTTGTAAATAAGCAACATCTGAGAACACAAGTATAAATACAATTCTATTCATAAACATATTTTTACGAGCTTTTCAAAAGTAGTAATCGAAATTACATTTATATGATTTTCACTGGTTTTCAGTGTATTATATAAAGTATTTTCAAGTAAAGCATTGCTTAAAGTAAGTAATATGTAAAATATTCAATTAAATTAAATACAAAATTTTTTATAATATCACTTAGACATATATTTTTTCCTTTCATTTTTACATATGAATTGGAAAATTTTGTTAAAACATTAATTCTTAAAAATCTTTGATTCAGAACAATAAAAGGCATGAACACACTTCTTTTTAAAATGGAGACATGTAATATATTCAAATATAATTAATGCATAGTCACAATGTATGTCACTCACATAATTTTACAAATTCTTATTGCTTGATGTATAGTTTTGTATTCACACAGTTCTATTTAAAACATATATACATCTTAAATTAATATATTCTAAAGAATCATTTCCAAACAAGAATTTGAATAAATTAAATTCTGAATTAAAAATTCACAAACATGCCATAATTAAAAATAAAAGTGTCATTTTAAAATATTAATTCATCTTATTACGTTTATCAATAGAAAAACAGTGTTCTATATTAAATATCATACATAAACAAATTTATTTAATAAATATTAAGTTAAAATACTTTTCTAACTCACTAATTATTGGCAGCATATCAAACATAAACAACTAAAGGGGGAGAAGAAATGCCACTAAATCTGGAAAGAGCTTTTTTGCTTTGGTTTTTAACAACTATACAGTTCGAAAAATAATATGTCACAAGACATTATTTAATTCATAACTTTCCACTTCAGAATACATTGAATGAATTCCTTAAAGGTTATGAAAATAAAATGAACAATATTTTTAGATCTTAAAATTTACACAATTTTGATTTGTTCAATAAGTTACATTTATAAAATTTTTAATACTTTCAAAACAGTAAAAACACATATCTTTTTCCTTAGCATGAAAATATATGATTTCTTTTTTTTTTTTTTTTTTTTGAATAATTATCAAAGTCTAAGAGATAAAATTCAGTAGATTTAATTAATATTAATGAATTTGTAACAAAGCTTTAGAAAAATTAATTAGAATATAGAGTACTAACAATTATTTATAGTTTTGCGAAACATTCTTGGAATTAAATAAAATCTTATTTATTGATTAAATAAGTAGTTCATTTATGGAAATCTTAATAAACTGAGCATACAACTACAGAAACTTACATTTTACATAAAATAATATTCTGCTTATGTGCAATAATATATATATCATACAGTGAATTACAAAATAAATTTTCATTACATTTATCAAATTATTATATAAAAGGTCTGCATATTTTAATATGGAGCTTTAAAAAACTTAATTTTTTTTATACAATTGTTGTTCATCTGGCTCCCTTTACTGTGATTATTTAATATTCTGCATTTGCTATGAAAAATCGGTGATTCTCTATACTGTACTAATCTACAATACAAGCGATTAAAATATATTAACAGTAATTAAATTCAATCAAAATCTATGTTAAATCAGTTCTTGAGAAAGTGTAAAACTACTATTGTGTGTTAAAACAAATAATGACCACTACTTTCACAGATGATCAAATAAACTAATTAGGGATAGATGAATGTTACAGATTCTACTTACTGTAAAATATACACTAAGAATTGAAGTAACATATATTTGCTACTTAAAAAGGCTGCTATTCAGGTAAAAAAGAAGATTCTACTTACTGTAAAATATACACTAAGAATTGAAGTAACATATATTTGCTACTTAAAAAGGCTGCTATTCAGGTAAAAAAGAAGATTAATAGAACTACACTATATCTAAATGTCAAAACTATTTCGTCTTACACAGATGTATCAATATTAAATAACTTACCACTGATATATTTTCACTGTCAAGGAATGTATCATAAATTGTCGAATACACCTCAAACTAAATATCGATATAATTCATATTGGAATCTCGCTGTTATCTAGCTGAAAGCAAAGGTTTATTAAAGCACTGACTATAGAAGTTTCAACTAGCATTTGTTAAAGATACTTTTATAAGTGAAATAAAATCCCTAGTAATTGCAGGTAAAAATACTCTTCAGTAATTCATTAAATTTTTGCTTAATATATTTTTCTTTTATAAAATTGTAAATAGCCTCTTCCCACAGAAAAATATTAACAATCAATTAATGAACTTACTATAATTACCACAACATTATCTACAGCAAAAGGATACAGCTTGGAAGAAATTTCAATCAAAATGATTTAAAGAACTGCATTTCTTGTAATACATGTGAAAAAGTGCTGATCTATTACACTGGTATGGATGCTTTTATTCAGCATGATGTGTTCTTAATATCAATTATAAAATTTATAACCAACTGCACAAATACATATTATTTGACAAGAGATTAATATAGAAGTATTAAAGCCATCACTAGCTGAAATAAAATTTTTAAGTACACCGAGAGATTACAAGTGGACACATTTTTAATATATGCATACTTTTATATGAATTAATTCTAGTTACTTAATTTTAAGGTTTTAATTGTGTAAGTAAGTAATAATGTACTTTTGTAATTTATTGAAAAAAACCAGATAGCTTGTGTTTATTAAGAATAAAATCACAAAATTAATATAAAAAAATCTTACAATATTACAGTTTTTAGAATCGAATATCCTCTTCTCCCATTAAATAAAACAAATATTTTTTGCACAGCATTGTGCCAGAAAATCCACATATATAAGGCCATTGCAGGAGAAAAAATGCAAGCACTCCTTACAAACTGTATACACATAAAAATATAAATAGTAGCATTTTGATAGGGCTGGTCTTACAGTGTCCAAACTGACTAAAAATATACATATTCATGACTAATTTATCTTACATATTTAATATTTTGATAAATATGAAAATGTTACATTTATTGCATTAATTTTAAATTCATTATTTAAATAAAATTTGAAAAATTTTCTAAGAAATATAGTAATTTATTCATGAATGTTTTCCAATATACGAATAAACATTCTGCTTTATTACAGAAGACAAGTTTACATTCCTTAACTTGCTAAGTTGCAAATTTTTTTCTGAAATTTTATTGGTTTGTTTTAGAGCTCTTATCTTACAATAACTTAATATGAGATTATAATACTATCAGTGTACTTTACTATATATATCCTATGAAAAATGAGCTGTCACCAAGAGAACTGCTACATAAGATATAGTACAAATTTTTAATTAATGAAGCTTATGATGTGGATGCATTTAATGAAATAAAATACATAGCACTGCAATGATGATCAATAATGATATAACATACTACAGTTATTTGATTCACCATTCACATTTAATGCACAAATATAAATAAAAAAAATTGTTAAAAAGATTGTAATCCCAAAAGACTGAAAAGATAACTGCAAGAAAAATTAAATGATACCTGATCGACAAATTTACTGCATTGGGTACAATGCTGGAAAAACATTCAAAGACAATATATATGAATACAAAATACTGATTTTTAATGTGTGACCAACTAAAACCTTTTACAAATTTAGATAATCAATTTTAAAGTTGAACCTAACAATAATATATTCTTTTATATTTATTGATGACTTTCAGCATTTTCAATGTCAATCATAGCATATGCACTGAAAGCATGTACTTTAGTTGCATTTTAACAAGTGCAAAACAGATTAAAGGAAACTTAATGCCAAGTAAAGATGAAGTGTTACTTAGATAACTCTCCAGTCTTAATGCAAAATCGCATTTGTCAGGATTATGCGACTCAGGTTAGAAATACTTAGTGCTGAGAAAGCAGAAGATACCAATGGTAGTGTTTAAAAGCACACAAGGGAAGGTTCTGCTTAAAAATGGTGGTAGGCCGGGTGACATGCCTTCATGGCAGAAAGCTTCGTGCCCCTCAACATCAAGACACAATAAACAGGAAGAGCACTCCAAAGGCTCAAAAACCTGTTGGCAGGGTGTAATAAAAATTTTGAGAAAAAATGGGCATCACTGCGCATTAAGTTTCCAGAAGCACATGCCAACGGCATACTTGCTCTCCCCGATTTTCTCGCATGTCATTCCAATGAGCAAGTTCTTCATCTCCACTGCTGTTAAGACCCAAAGAGAACCAACCAATCATCTCTTTCCGTTTCATGCTGCGTTTGTTGTATACCGATATCATCAGCGTCACATCTGGAAGTTGAAATAGGGCCACCTATTGAATACAAGTGTCATGAAATAATGTTGATAGCAATAATTTTTAACAAATAAAATTTAATATTGTTTTTAAATCATTCACATACTAGTGGGTATTTTCACTGTAGATTGTTTTTGTTTTGAAATAAAATCTTTTCAAGTCAAATTTTTCTGTGCTTTAAAAATCTGATATCCTTCAATGTTCTCACATTTTATATACATGTAAGCAGGTATAAATACAACATACAGAAGTTTCTTTACAAATTTAAGTGACCATTTAATTAAAGTTTAACTGAATGCAATTAAGTTAATAAGTATTAGTGATTTGATTATTATAATGTAACATACAACAAACTGTTCATTAGAGATTAACTATATAATGAAGCTACATGGTTTTGAATATTCATATGTTTCTATTAAAAGAGATATTCCTCCCATTTTCTCCACCCCTCCAGAAATAATACAGTTTTACTGTAGATAATTTAACAAGATGTAATAGAAGTCTATGGCAGCCCCCTGGTCTCAATCTTAATTTCAAATATGCACTTGTGTTATTTAAAATTGAAGAATATTTTCTGCAGGAATACAATATTTTGAGGCAAAAGTACTAAAGACAATTATTGCTACACATAATAAAACCCACTTGCAATCAAGATTGCTGATTTGATTTTTGAGTAAATATGTCTAACTAAAACCTAAATTAGATATGTCTTATATAATTTTTTGCAATTGTAAGGAATTATTCCTTTTCTTCTGTAAAAGCAACCAAATGGCACCAATGTGGTTGCACAAATATGTAAATGCTATATTTAACAAGTTTATTGCTTTCACAGCAGAGATCTCACAGAAATTCAATTTTAATTTCACTAATTTTTTGTTAATTTCTACGACTAATTTCAAGGATAAAACAAGAAGGATCAGTTAACAAATTATATTATCAGTTAGCAACTGTAGAATTTTATGTACTAAATGTATACAATTAAAGGATTTTAATACAAAATAACATGAAATTTCTAAAAAAAAAAGGCCAATATTGTACTCTCTACAGCAAAGCATACATAAAAAGAATATATTTAGATAATAGGCATCTAAATCACTCCAAAACACAGACTGGAACTTTTAAAAGAAATATCAAATCTACAAAAGTGTTCATTCTGCAAAAGAAATTTATAATAGTATATCATTCAGGATTAAAATTACTTTTATAATGTTATACTGTATAAAAGAGAATCAAATGAAAACGGAAAAATCGCTACAAAATGAACAGATATTATTTAGTTTCAAATGTTATTTTTTAACCGAGATTGAAACCAGTTTCGAACTGAGTCCATGACTTCACTGTCCATGTGAAAACGTCAACCCCACAATGGCTTCTTTAGTAAACAAACAGGTGAAAGGTCAGGGCCGTATGGTGGGTGTTCCAACACACTCAACCAAAACCACACAATTTGAAAGTTCAATGTGCGAATGGCCATATGTGGCACTGCAGCAAAAATACTCCAGAAAACAATATACCTAGCCATTTGGCTTTGATTGCTGCATGCAAATGTTCCAAGGTGGTGTAGTACTGTAGTATTGATTGTTAACCTAGGGCCAAGAACTTGGTGAGTTTTTCATATTGGAAAAAAAAAAAAAAAATCAACACGATTTTGCCCTTACTACATTATCTTGGTACTTCTCTGGCGGTGGGAAGCTGGGATGTTTTCACTGATGGCTTAGTCATTTATTTTCTGATTGGTAGATGGCACCAAGGTTCACATCACGTGCCAGATTCTGTCCAAGAAATTGCCCTCAACATAATATCAGTGAAGATGCTGCAATGACAATCTCGTGTGAATCCACCTCTGATTGTCTATAAGATTATATTGCACCCACTGTTGTCTACAAGATTGTATTGCACACTCAGTTTCTTGTAATGCAGTTTCTTTGCAATGATGGCATGAACAGAACTGAAACTCACACCCACCTCCTGACTGGCTACAGTCAGTTACTGTGTCCTTTATTGTGTGCCATCTGTTTGCACAGATGATTTGGTCAATGTCATTCACCAAAGCACCTGTGATGATGAGGTAACTGTCACCAGGTCACAGATCATATTTCAAAGATTTCCGTCCTTCAGGGAAAGATTGTGCCAGTCCCGTGCATGAATCAGTGCCAGTGAGTGTTCTCTGTACACTGTTTTCATTCGCTGATGCACCACCAACTCCAACACCTTCCGCCACTAAAAAATGAATAACACTGTGCTGCTCTTCTTTAGTCACAAACATTATCCAGACATGGATGAAATGACAAATGACTGCCTGCCAGACAACACTGCTAGCTAACCACCAACACATATCACATGGTTCTATTTATTAGGATATATATTTTGTATTTTCCAATATAGGAATTTTGGCACAAAATCGATCTTTTTCTGAAATTACATACTGTTTTTCCATATTTCAATCCTATGCCTCAAATTATGCCAAAGTGCCATGTTTGGTAGAAATCGGCCATATAGTTTTTCAAAAATTAGGTCTCAAAATTTTGCTCCCCAACGTTAATTAAATCTGATTCTGATTTTATTAAACTTACTTGATTTCTTCTCTCAAAATTTGAAGTTTTAAGTTCAATCCAAATAAAATTCAAATATTTTTACGATTTATTTTAAAATAGTTTTTATAAATATTTCAAAAATTATTCTGCATATTATCTATAACAGTTTTGCTATCATCTTAAAGTGGATATGTTTCCAGGCATGCCTGAAAAACATTAGAATTTTTTATTCAAAATGCATGAATTTATATATTGGCATGTTTTGAAATTTGGCATATTTGTTACGAGCGATAATAACAACGAATGGAGTTTACGCATAACCTTCAATGTATTGCAACAATTATTCTGAACTTCAATGAAGATCATTCATTGAGAATTTCTTTATTTTCATTTTTACTAATAATATTTAATAAATATTCATTAATAATACATGAAAAGCTATTTTTGAAGTTTATACAATATAATCAAAAGTTTAAAGTTTTTTTTTTTTTTTTTTTTTTTTTTCTTTCTTTCAAAAGAGCAAATTTTTACCAGAATATTTTATCATCTGCTATTTTACTTAACTTCATCTAATATGCAATGAAATTTATCAGGCTCTAACAAAAGTTTCCCACCACCACAAATAATCGCATGCTCAAATAGTTTGCATTGTCATGTTTACTCATATTTTGTAAAACAATTTTGGGCATTTGAAAGAAAAAGAACACTGTATTGTGAAATTAGTAAAAAAAAATATTTTTATTATTAAGTACAAGGTGTCTGAAATGGAACTATCACGCTACCAGATTAGGACTGTCATTTACTTCCAGTTCTGTTGCAAAAAGTCAGCTACAGAACGCCACCAAATCATATCTATAGCTTTAGGTACTAATGCTGTATTATATGATACTGTGAAAGTTTAGTACCAAAAATTCAAAAACAAGGACTATGACATTCAAGAAGCAGAACACTCTGGCCTGCCTATTGATGTTGATGAGGCCTGCCTGCGATAACTTGTGGAAGATCAGTATGCAGCCACTTGAGAATATCATGCAAGGACAAAATTCTGTACCGGATCATCAGTTGTGATGAAAAGTGGGACAACACAGGCTGAAAAGAGGATTGGTCTGCATCTGGTGAGCCTGTCAGTAGCATCACAAAGTGCAAATTGACTAACAAAAAGATCATGCTTTGTATCTGGTAGAATTGTCACGGTATTATCCGCAAAGATTATCTGGAAAAAGGTAAAACCCTCAATAGGAAGGTCCATAGTAAGATGCTATCAAGGAAAAATGTTGAACTGAGTTCCAGTGCAAAAAGGTAATGTTCAATGAATGCCAGACCACATGTGTCTACATTCAATGACTGGACTCTGTACTGACTCGAATGGGATCTTTTGCTGCACCCACCATATAGCCCCTAACATCGCTTCTTCGGACTTCTAACTTTTTTCACACCTGCAGTTACATCTTGCTGGTGCTATCTTCCATTCTGCACAGGACATCCGAATCAAACTGGGAGTAAAATAAAAAGGTTATTTAAACCTTTTCTGAATTTTTTGAGTTGTTCAAGACATAGCAATAACTCACTAACTGTCAGCATGGGTCTTAAGCTTCCAGTTTAACTTACTATCTGCCCTGTAGGGTTCTTAATGCTAGCTTCCAGTTATAGTAGCAACCCTACACATTTTGATTTGCAAATATCATTGATTATATGTACTACATTCATTGACTACAGATTATATGTTCTCAGGCACAAACATTTTAGTGCAACTGAACGTTCAGTTACATTTGCTATTGTATTCACATTGGTGTTCTTGGAATCTAAGCTAAAAACAAGAGAGAGATTAAAAGATGCATTACACATCAAATACATGTATCTGGCTTATGTATTTTACATGTGCAACTTTAAAGCATCAACTGGCAAGAATACAAAATCCCGAATATAATTTTTAAACAGAGCTGGTTAAAAATACTAACGCCACACCCACCATATAGCCCTGACATTGCTCCTTCGGACTTCTAACTTTTTTCACACCTGCAGTTACATCTTGCTGGAAAATTACATCTTCCAGCAAGATGTAACTGCAGTCACATCTTCCATTCTGCACAGGACATCCGAATCAAACTGGGAGTAAAATAAAAAGGTTATTTAAACCTTTTCTGAATTTTTTTGATATTGGTGTTCTTAGAATCTAAGCTAAAAACAACAGAGAGATTGAAAGATGCATTACACATCAAATACATGTATAATGAGCTGGCTTATGTATTTTACCTGTGCAACTTTAAAGCATCAACTGGCAAGAATACTAAATCCCGAATATAATTTTTAAACAGAGCTGGTTAAAAATACTAACAGCAAGACACAACTATCAGAAGCTCTCTCAAGTAAAAATTCAAAACCCATAATTTAAATAGACACAAAACTAAAAACTCACAGAAAACCAGTTGTTTGAAAAGTGAATATAGTATATAATGAATAAAAAAGGCAGGACGATTGCAGATA